GTCTGATGACGAATTTCCTCACGAATCATTATCACTGAATTCTGCAAGTGGTTCTGATTTACTATCGCTGTTCTAAAACCACTTTTGACGTAAAGGGACACTTTTTGGACGCCGTGGACTTTTCTAAGTTTCCAGGCAGAAAGAACAGTCTAAATGCAGGCAGGGCACAGGACAAAGCACTAGGGACAAAATATATGTGAAATGCATTGAAACAGCAATGACAGCAAAAATGAAATTTTTTAAAAATTTCAAATTTGTCGCCGGTTCCTGTACGTCCCAATGTCACAGGGACCGGAACATGGAAGCCGGATGCCGGCATCGGCCGGAGGAAATGGCCGGGGATGCTGCAGGGAACACATCGCAGGAGCGAAGGACAAGGTAAGTGCTGCAGGGACCCCCTGAGCAACGCCGCATGGTAAGCCCGAGTGTAGCTCGGGGTTACCGCTCTTGGTACTCAAATTTTACCCTGAGCTACACTCGGGAATACCGCCAAGGAGGTTAAGCATCTCTCACTGCACCACTCACCCTCTCCCCAGATCTTTCCTCTGAAAACTTATTATTTCATAGTCTAGTCCTGGTCCTTCTCAGAATTTATTGACATGCAGTGTCAAACCAGTTCTTGTGTGTCCTGGGTGTCATGAACACACCTCCTAGGGGTGCATCTTTGTATTGCCCTTAGCTAACGGCACAATGCCGCAGGGCAAGGAGCTGACATCAGAATTTTAGTGCCACTCTCTACATCATTAACGACCACCTACAGACGAGGTGAAGAATACTGTGCACATCACATGACCGGCAATAAGATGTAACATAAAATATATTTATGCCAAAAAAATTCCAAAATAAACATGTGGGGAATGGAGGGCTTGGAGGTAGACATGTGCATGCCTCGAAATTTTGTTTCATTTCCTTTCCAGATGCATTCGTTAATGGAAGAGTTTTTTTCAGATGCATTTGTTTTTGGAATTCAGTATTCGGTATGTTTCATTTGGAATAGCCTAGTTATTACGGAGCAGGTGGTCGCCACATCCGTGACTCATCTTCTGTTAGAGGGATTCCCAGCTGTGAGCAGAATTGTAAACAAAAGAAGTGCTGGTTAACGAAAAAAAAATTAAAAAATTAGCTTGCCCCCCCCTTACGCTGGATATGGGTTTTAAGGGGAACCCCATAGCAAACTTAAAAAAAAAATGGCATGGGGTCCTCCCCCCAAAAGCTATACCAGACCCTTATCCGAGCATGCAGGCCAGAAAAGCGGGAAGATGAGTGAGTGCCCCCCCTGAGCCTTACAAGGCCACATGCCCTCAACATGGGGGGTGTCCCCCACAAAGCACCTTGTCCCCAAGTTGATGGGGACAAGGGCCTTTTCCCCACAACCCTAGACAGTGGTTGTGGGGGTCTGCAGGCAGGGGGCTTATTGGAATCTGGAAGCCCCCATATCACAACTCCACATGTAAATGAGTATGGGGTACATAGTGCCCCTACTCATTCACCAAGAAAAGTATCAAAAATAAAAAAAAGAAAAACAAACACAAACAGCTTTTGACAAGTTTATTAAAAAATCCCCCCAAAAAATAAATATCCCCTGAAGTAGATCCAATGTCAATTACAATGAATGCCTACCTGCATGTAAACAAACAAACAAACAAAAAAACCAATCGCCTGCCCTTGGGTCTGGTATGTATGGGGGAGACCCAATGTTGTTTTTTTAATTTTGGCATGAGGTTCCCATCAAAATCCATACCAGACCCTAAGGGCCTGGTATGGATTGAGTGGTACCCCCATACTGTTTTTTTTTTGTTTGTTTTTTTATTTTAAAGGGCATTTCTTTTGTTTACATGCAGCTGACAGCAGGGAATTCTGCTGACAACAGGAGGATAGGGCGGCCACCCGCTTCTTAACAATGATCCTAATAAATCTGAATGAATCTGAAAGTTTTGTTATAACATTTTCAGATTCGTTCAGATTCATTACTATGTCCATTTGTAAATTCAGATACATCCAAATTTCTGAAAATTAATTTTTGTCCGAAAAAAGAATCTAAATGAACCGAATCGCACATGTCCGCTTGGAGGGATTTGGGTGGGGGTGAGTTAGAGAGGGGTGGGAGCAAGTTCACTTTGCCAAGAAAATTTTCACTTTGTTTGAAAACTTTTAGTTAGCTGTAAAAATTAATTTAGCAAACAATACACAATCACGTATAAGGAAAATGTAATAAAAGAACAATGCTCCGTTCAGCAGGCTGTGTGTGTATTGATGATCGTTAGGGGTCAGGAATGATTGCATGGGATAAGGATCCTATCCGGAGAATGGCTGCAGGGCAGCTCCAGGTCCAGAGGAGGGAGTCTCTTTCCATGCTGCACACTTGGTCCATCTTAAAGGGGGCTTCTGGCAGATATTACAACAATCATATAATTCTACTAATTGCGCATTTATTATGCGCATCTGGTGAGTGTGCATTTTTTACCATATCCCCTGCACGATCTTAATGGAGTATAATCATATGAAATTCTTCTGATATCACTTGGGCAACAGGATCTTCATGTAGCACCATTTTCTGGCTGGTGTCAGATTTTCACCATTATATGAACTTTTTTCTGTTTATTGACTTTTTTAGTTGCACGCAATATATTGTGCTTCTTATCATAACGACGGACTTAATTTTTGTATTTATTTATTTATTTCATCACGTATATCACAAATTTTTTTTAGCGCTGCACTTATTGATTCTATAAATAATTTTTACTTACAAATGATTGGATAATTGAAGATAGTCAAACTACAAAAGAGAAAAGTTCCCAGCTCAACTTTTTTGTTGTTTAACATGCTTCACCCATCCATGTGTTCCTTGCGTTGAAGGCCAGTTATAAACTGGGGCAGTGGCCATTTTTTGTTCGAGTGAAGATAGCACAACTTCATCTCGTTCACTAACTTAAGAGAAAATTCCCTTGCAAAGTAGAAATTCACTTTGCAAAGTGAACAGCCTATATGCCTTTAGTGAATCAACCCCAAGTGTTCACTGCCCCTAATGACAGATGTGCTGATAGCTCCACATGATTGGATCCTACCACCTGCTGACTTATTTTCCATTTTCCTTTGAAATAAGGCTGGCATCTGCTGAGTATATTAAAATGCAAGCTCATGTAATTTCAGCATGCATGTAGATACTCTAATCGATAGGATTAAGGTCTAACTATGTAATCTAATCTATAACATCTTTATGGAAGAAACAAAGAAAATTGTTTGGAAGTCACACTGTGCACACAAAATTGGACTGCTCTCCAATGTCAATGGTGTGCTTCATAATAGAGTATGACAATGGTGATGTCTTGAGCTACATCAAGGAGTTAATAAAGTGACTTCGCTCTGAAAATCAGTCCCTTGCTTTGTTCACCAAATCATAGCACAACCCCATAGCTTTGGAAACTTTCCAAAGGAAAGGAAAATCTAATAAACTGTCAGAAGCTTATAATGAGTTCTAACCCATCCCATAGAGCAGCTGTGCAAAAGCTTCTTTTGTTTCGTCTTTACTGCCAGAAATGGCACTATTATAATTTGTGGTGCACTCTTGGCATCGACAGCATAGCAAACAAAAGCGTCCGTTGGTTAGTTAGTTAGAAGCTCTAGCTTAACTGAAAGGTAACTGTCATAGTACATGTAGCAAATGTATTTAAAGTGAAAAAAAAAAGGTCAGACGCTTGCAGAGCTTGCCGTGTTGTTGTTGAACTTGTGAGACGTAAATGCGGGAAGTGAGTGTATTTAATTGCTTGGCTTCGGGGTAGACCTGCTAAGAAACAAGGATGAGAATCCTGTCTCTCTTCTGTGAATGAGCAGAAGAGGTGCTCAAATATTCCTGTTTAGTATGCAAAGCATAGAGCTGTAACTGCTCATTTTCTAGCACTCATTTTTTGTAGAAGGATGTGTTATATTATGCAAATGCTGACTAGCTTTAGGAAATATGTCTTTCAAATATCTTCATTGCCTTAGGCCTCCATTTGTATTCTCCGCAGGTTTTTAATTCTGTGTTGCAGGATCTTCAGCTTTCATAAAGGAGTTGTCTGCAAATAATATTTCTAGCTTTAGCAACGTTCTAACAAATTCCCAATGGCTTTAAAAATATCTGTTTAGTTATTTAATCAAAGTGACTTTTGAATATCTCTGTGGGATCTATAACTGATACTTTTATCCAGCTAAAGGCCAGTAAACATGAATACGTAAAGGCAGCAATGAAGACAGGTGCTTATGTTTGAGATTTTGGTGAACTAAGTGGCTCAATACAGGCACTTTCTTTGTGTCCCATGAAAATGAATTCAGACCACGGCATCTGTCAACATTGTTGATATAGCTTTGTGTACCTCTACTGCTTCAACTAAAGCAAGGGACAGACAATTATTATTATTATTGTTATACAGTATTTATAAAGTGCCAATGGTTCGCTCAGCGCTGTACATTACAAAGGGGGACAGAACATGTGACAGAACAATATCAATACAATGCAAAACATGAGGGGATCGAGGGCCCTGCTCTTTCGAGCTTACAATCTAGGAGGCAATAGATAAGTATCTGCACCAACTCCTGTTTTTACTAGCTAGTCCTCATGCACATAGATGCCTAGAGGCTGTGATGTCCTGGTGCTTTCCCACAACCAAGGATCCGCAGGTGTTGCGTACAGCTGTTGATACATATCAATGACTATATGTGGTCATACTCAAGTAAATGCAGATGGTTTGAAAGTGGCACATTTAGGGAAATGCCATATGCACATGCGCTGGTAAACTCCAAACACATCTTTTGTGTCTGTAGACATCTGTATGCACAAGGCCTTAAAGTGTTACTAAACCCAGGACCCTGTATTCACTATATCTGGTCTCCCACAGTACACACAACAAGGAAATGCAATTATTTTAGTAAATATAAACTGCTAAATACCTTTTCTCCTCAACCGTAATTAGCAGTCTTGTGACTTCTATCAGTGTCCAGCCAAGCACTGGTTAAAGCTTGTAGGAGGAGTTTTCATTCTCCTCTAGGAGGATGCAGAACCCCTGACCTCTGTCTGGACAGTGCTGATTGGCTCTGTGCTGATCACATGCACTCTCCCAAGAAAAAAAAACAACATCTAGCAATACACACCAAACTGAGTATGTGCAGAGTGTCTCCACACGATATGTCTTATCAGGAGACACTGGAAGAAGAGGAGTATCAGAGAAAGTCAGCATCAATCAGCCTTTTTACACAATGCAGAGGATTAACCCTTTAGGTTCCACAGTGAGTATATCAAGCATGCTTTACTGCACATACAGACTGATTTTAGGGTTTAGTAACACTTTAACAGTTTTAAGGGCTGAGAGAAAAAAAAATAACAGATTTCTCCATTCACACATACAAAGTGGATTGAGGAATCCCACCCTCTGGGACATTGCATTCTGACAGCAGCACCCATCACTGATTGGCTGTAACTGCTGCTTGACAGAAATATTTCTAACATGTCCCTTTGAAAGAAATCAATTAAACAATCAACTTCTGTTGAGCTGAGGAACCTATACACTGATTGAATTTCGGCTGGTCCCTGCTGCAGTGTATGGCCAGTTTTAGTATGGAAATGGTTAGTCCATCAGATTGTATTTTTTTCTTCTAACATTCGCACTATTGGTGCACATCAGGGCAGCTTGCTGTAGGTAGCTGACAGTGGTTTTGTATGTAACAAACTAGTAGAACAAGGTTCTTTTATCCAGATACATAAAAATGTTCACATGCACTGCGCCTTCAGAAATGCAGCATCTCTGTTTGTCATTGTGACCATCATCACCAGAATAAAATGTGATGGTAAAATTAAAATGTTAGGTATCATCAGATCAGGAACAAAGGAGCAATGTAATAATGTGGGACACCTTTTGTTTGAAAATTTCCATTTCAAGGCACTTGTTGTATTTTCTAATGGTTAGTAGGGTCAAATCAGTGATTGTTTTTGACCATAGTGACAAAAAAAATCTAAAGTTTCCTCAAAATGAATGGAATTTTTAACAGTAAATGTGTTTTTGTTTGGGAAAAATTGAGCATATTGTATTGCGCATGCTCTTCGCCAAAAAGAAATCTGTTTTAATATGTCTAGGATTCCATTCAAGTAGCAGGCCAGGATGAAAATTTAAGGGCTTTAGAACAAAATTCCTTGGCTCAGTGATGGCAAGAAAGAATGTTCTCACAATCTATTTTTCAGGATTTCTGTATGAACATTCAAATGAAAGTCTGCTGGTGTATGACCAAGGTAACAGGGAATTTCCACTCTGGAGAGTTTTCCTCTCACTTCATTCATCTCCAGTACAGAAAGTAAAGAAACCCCCACAACAGTGAAAAAAAACATTTACAGGGGTTTTGACCAGCTCCTACACCAGCCATTCTCAACCTGGGATTCAGGGAACACTAGGGTACCTTCAGAGTTGTTTAGAGGGTCCTTGGGCTGTGGCTTTCTGACTTCCCAATTTATTGTACATGCATATTTTCAGGTCCTACTGCACTTGGCAAAGTCAGCAGCATAACACCAGTAATCATTTTAGCTGTCTGTAAGGGGTGCATTCTGACCACCAATGTACAGTCCATTTTGCTGAAATTTCATTGCAGCAGCTCAAAATGGTACTCAGTACTTTGTATGGCCCCCAGGTGCTTGTATGCATGTCTGACAACATCGAGGCATGCTCCTAATGAGACAACGGATGGTATCCTGGGGTATTTCCTCCTGGATCTGGACCAGGGCATCACTGAGCTCCTGGACAGTCTGAGGTGCAACCTGACTGAAACATGATATCCCAGAGGTGTTCTATTAGATTTAGGTCAGGTGAGCGTGGGGGCCATTCAGTGGTCTCAATTCCTTCACCCTCCAGGAACCGCCACTACTCTCACCACATGAGGCCAGGCCTTGTCGTGCACCAGGAGGAACCCTTGATAAACTGCACCAACGTAGGGTCTGACAATGGGTCCAAGGATTTCATCCCAATACCTAATGGAAGTCAGGGTGCCATTGTCTAGCTAGTAGAGATCTGTGCATCCCTCCATGAATATGCCTCCCCAGACCATCACTGACCCACCACCAAAATGGTCACACTGAACAACGTTAAAGGCAGCATAACATTCTCCACAGCTTCTCCAGACCCTTTCGTGTCTGTCACATGTGCTCAAGGTGAACCTGCTCTCATCTGTGAAAAGCACAGGGTGCCAGAGGCGGACCTGCCAATTCTGGTGTTCAATGGCAAATGCCAATCGAGCTCTATGGTGCTGGGCAGTGAGCAAAGGGCGAACTAGAGGACTTCAGGTCCTCAGGCCACCCTCATGAAGTCTGTTTCAGATTGTTTGGTCAGAGACATTCACACCAGTGGCCTGCTGGAGGTCATTTTGTAGGGCTCTGGCAGTGCTCATCCTGTTCCTCCTTGCACAAAGGAGCAGATACCAGTCCTGCTGATGGATAAAGGACCTTCTACGGCCCTGTCCAGCTTTTCTAGAGTAACTGCTTGTCTCCTGGAATCTCCTCCATGCTCTTCAGACTGTTCTGGGAGACACAGAAAACTTTCTGGCAACGGTGCGTATTGATGTGCCATCCTGGAGGAGTTGGATTGCCTGTGCAACCTCTGTAGGGTCCAGGTATCGCCTCATGCAACCAGTAATGACACTGACCCTAGCCAAATGCAAAACTAGTGAAAAACAGTCAGAAAAGATGAGTAGGGAAAAAAATGTCACTGGCCTCCACCTGTAAAACCATTCATGTTTTGGGGATCATCTTATTGTTGCCATCTAGTGCACCTGTTGTTAATTTAATTACCCACCAAAGCAGCTGAAACTGATTAACAATCCCCTCTGCTACTTAACTCACCAGATCAATATATTAGGAGTTTAACTGACTTGATGCTATACTCTGAATAAAAAGTGTTCCTTTAATTTTTCTGAGCAGTGTACATACATACATACATACATACATACATTATACATGTGCTTCTACTAAGGAGACTCTCAAAATTTATAGAGTTAGGAACAGAAGATACTGGGGTGCCATGAAGTGGCTCTGCATCTTACCCATGTATTTGCAAATGTGTGCAAACTAAACCCCAATTTTGTAACGTGAACTGTTAGACAGGATAATTTGGTTGGTTGGAGGCTGGTTAGTAAGCTGAGCTGGGAATTTTCCTTTTTTGTCGTTTGCTTAGAAACCTTTGCCTTTACTCTGGGCTTGGTTGACCTTATATCATGATAGAGATTGCTAATTTGATGTGCTAGATAATACATTGCAGAGCCACAGAAATCTATAGGACAAGTGCTGATGTCACATTGCCAAGTGCAGAAGAAGCATGGGGAAGCTTGTCTATGTTAGCCATGAAGCTTTGTGCAGTGAAAGCTCCAACACATACTTAGTGCACATGCACAGAACATCCATAAAAGCTAAAAACAAAACATTGCATTGCCTTAACCTAGGTTCACACCTAATCGTTTTCTGCCATGTTTTGCGTTTTGGAGAAACACAGTACAGTCCATTTAACATGATTTCCTATGGGACAAGTTCACATCTCCGCGTTTTAACATGGTGTGTTTTTTGGACACAGGGACTTTTTTTTGGTTCTATAGACTTCAATGGGAACATTGCAGAAAAGCATGTATTGTGTTTTTGTTGTGGTTTTGCCACATTTTTATGCCTTTTGCGTTTAAAAATCTGCCTAGCAACAAGAAGTAAAAAAAAGGCAAAACACGATAAAAAAGCATGTGCAAAACGCAATGCAGAAACGCCTTAAACGCAACCTAGACTTAGTGTTTTGTCTTGTTTGTAACTTTACAGCACAGCAGCAAAATGTATGAGGTGGGCACAGCAGGTTAGGGTGGGCAGTCTAAATTAGAACCCTCACCTTATCAGCTATGCCACCCATCAGAAATTTATCTTTTTAAACCCATTGCCAAATATTATTTTCCCGTTATATTTAAATTATCATTACCTTTGCTATACCAATATACAGTAATATGGGAGTTTGTTTTCATTAGGCGAGTATAATGTAAGAGTTAACGTTCAACACACTAAATTAATGTTCTCACAAATAACACAATTTAAATCAGACCCTTAGGTAAGTGATTGCTTTTCAGCCTATCTTCTGTTTACAAACATTTTGCTTTCATGCTTGAATATGAGATTTGCATCTTAATTGACCTATAAAATATAAAATAGAAAATAGTTTAATCCAATTAAAGTGCATGAGTCACCATGAAAGTGGACTGGGATAGAATTTTTCAAGGAATACATGCAGAAACGATAATTTTCAACCTTACTGTAAACAGTTTTGAATATTTAATAAGAATCATTTTTCTTTCGTGAAAAATAACTTCATTTGCTTTGCAAATAAAAAAACAATGGCTATTCATGTGTGCTTTATGTATGGAATGAATATACATTTTTTAAATGTAATCCTCTGTGTAACAAATGGGCTATACAGTGCAAGGGTATAATAAATACAAGTACTGAATGCAAAAAATGGGGAAATTATGTAAGCTGGAAACATGAACTTATGCTAAACCCATGAATAATGGACTAATGAGTCTTGACCAAATGACATCCTTGGAATGTGAGTTTTTAGTTGACATAGTTGAATTTTAGAAACTCAATGAAATATCCTAGCTCATTTACGATGCTACCTTTTGTACTGGCTCCTGTCTGTCAACATCATCATCCTCGAAAACCTGATTTAGAGCAAACTAACGTGTATGTGGTATTTGGCTTATGCATTCAAATGTGCATGGACTTTGAAGTGGTGCCTTATCCTATAACAGTGTAGCAGGCATGTTTTTGAGTTAGAATATTCCAGTTATTAGTGGGACACAGCTGCAAGACTAGATACAGATAGTTTTAGTAAGTGGTAAGTGTGCAGCCCAACAACTTTTCCAGCTACTCACTGCACAAGTCTGAATTGCTAACAAATGGAACAATACACATGCTCCTGGTTGATATATGGCTGTTTTTTAGAATGGCAACTGGGATATCACCTACAACATTTCACAGCAATCAGCTGGAAGTCTCCCCCCATGTGCTCCAATCGTCCAATCCCTTTTAGGGTTTATGTAGATAGAAAATGCAGTATGCTTTCAGGTGCATTTTGCTTGAATTTGAGATCACTTTCAGATGCTCCTAAACTCCCTACACTACGATTTGCTTACTTCTAAGCTGTTTCATGCTGCTTTTGCATTCCCATTGCCTTGGACTTGGACACTTTTGATACAAATAATATCTGT